AGTGGAGGTTTGCTGATATGGGTAATTAGCAAAGCGTCTCTTTTTTGGTCACCCGTGATATTTAGTGATAGAAACGTAAAGTATCGATCACTTGGAATCAAGTATTGGAGCATGCGAAGGTGTGTGATTTTTCGCGTTATCCTGGTTCTTCTTTTCAATTACCTGAAATGGTAAATTCGGTCATACTACTATATATGACACTAAGTATGTCTGTGTGTGTTCCGTTTGTCACGAAATTCATAGCGCGCTTCGCTGCAGCCATGAAGCGCTGTTCTTTTAATTATGATGAACCAGATTGGTGCCCCGGCAGCCGCTGCAACCTCCCTTCCCTGTATAAGCTTTGCGTTCCTCCTCCTCCCCTTATCCTCTCCTCCCCCTCCATTGTTACCTTGTGAATGACCGGAAGTGTGCTAAGTAGGTGTTTATATAGCCGTTGGGGTGTTATCACAATCATGCCATTGCAAAACATTGATAGCAAGCCCTGCGAGCTACCCAGATTTGTTAGCGGTTTGTTTATTCCATGAGCTTCCTTATCACTCACTTCATTTTGCGGACGGACAGACAGACATACATACACACATACACACAAACAAACCGACACACAAGGTTAGCGGTTTATAAAATGAAATGACTCGATGCATGGCGTTTGTTTAAAGACAACACTTTAGCTCCGCACTCTACTACGCTTATCACACAGCGAGCTTCAGCTAAAACGGCTAGCTAACGCATTTCACAAAGCAACTTATTGTTCAGCGGTAGGACTAATGCTCCACCGGCTGTCCAGTCCCACAGAAGCCTTCCCCTTATGCGCGTGGTAGCATGCAGAGCTAAACTGGTAGTCACATAATTAACTTTTCCGTGAAGCCTAATATCATTTCGAAAATATTTCAAAGCAGTCGGCTAAGAGACGAAGCAGTTATTTTCTTAAAAATATACAAAGTGAGTAGTATACGAACACGGTAATGCTGGAGAAGTTTTTCATAAGAAAGCAACTCAAGTCCTCTTGAAATTGTGAGTTAGGAGTACAAAACATAACTTGAGGTGATCAAATGCCTCCAAACCGCTGCTGCCTACTAGCTCTCGAACGTTTTTACGATTACGATAGACTGTGGGTTTTGCGCTCTGACCGGGGTCCATTCGCAGGTTGAGGCGGTTGAAATTATAAAGAGAGTCTAATTTCCAGATATGAATGAGCTAATGAGATTTCTTTTGACATCTCACCTTCGATGTGGTATGTCTTCGTTTCTGGAGCGGTGATAAAACATTAGTTCTATACGTGAGTAGTCCAGTTTCGGTCCGACCGAATAACTAAATGCGAACGTTTTTTGTACCATTCGATCTTGGAAATTCCAATGCTCAGAAGTTATTACGATGATCAAAAGGTAGAACCGTTAGCAATCAAGGTAAGATTTGTCAGGAGTGCAGTGGTGAAGAAAAAGCCATGAAAAACGGCATAGAATCCAAGGAATAAAACCTCATTTGTCATTGTTTCCGGCTTTGAGCCAGCGACCATGGCGAGCTCACTTGTATACTATGTTAATAACGATGGCCAATATCACACCAGCAAAAATCATCCCTGACTGATAACCTAAAGCTCAAAAACTACGACCACTTGCCCCCTTCAAAATGAAGAGCAAACGATGGCGATAATATGTAGTCGCAGCACACACGCTTTTGATAGACCGCGTTCATAGTTGGCAAGGAGTCAGGAAGATGATCATAGTACGCGACATGTAGTTACAGATTAGGATAGTCCGCCGAGAAAGATAGTAAGTATCGTAAAAATCGCCGGAATGGACAGAATCCAGAGTTCAGGAAGGGAGATAACGTAGCCTCATCGATCGCTATCGCTACTATTCCCATTTCCGCACACTCCGCGCACTAGAACGCAGCAACTATAGTCTCAGCCGTGTGCAGGCGGGCGCAGAGCCTCAAATTTGCCAGCTGGGCATACCTTTCCGTATGACGCGCATCGTCTCGCACAGCCTGAGGCTGCTGTTCGCTTCCCTCACTATTCCCTCTCTCCTATTCGAACGAATCGCGTAATTCCTTTAAAGGAATCTTGCGCGGAAAATTCTTGCACTCTTTCCTAACATGAATATGTCAGTTGTGATCACTGAAATAGCACACAAAGTTTCACGCATGAAGATTCGGTTTCTGAAGAGAAACAAACGTACAAAAACTACACGTTATGGACCATCGAAGGACCAGGAGGCAGAGCCAGGCGAGGCATGGAAAGAAGACGGCGTTTGGCCGGCTACGTACCAGGCGACGCAATGAGAGAATCGGGTTAAAGCGCGCGATTTCGGAGAGGAGACAAATCGATCGATGGAATAGGATGGAGTAGAAGTGTAAGATGTGAATGCAACGAAGCAGAAGGCCAGAAAGAGCTTCTAGTGAATGCACTCCAAGAACCAAGTTGAGCATCCCGTCGCCAGCATTCGTGAAAGACGTCCGTGGGCAATTCGAACGCGTAGCAGCCTTTTCGAGTTTTCGAATTTCTAATCAAAACGAAAGCAATACTTCAGTTCTTTTCACTATTATCGTGGATAATGAGTCTCAAGCCAGTGATTTATGGCTGAAATAGAATCATGATTTTTCCGCGCAAGATTCCTTTAAGTGGCGAAATAGATGAAGCAAGCGCAAGTTGCCTGGGAACATTTGGCGCTAGAACAGGTGGATCCTCTCGACGTGCTAACAATAAGCCTTCGAAAGAGGATGAACTTCAAGGAAAAATCAGAACCGCTCAAACATCCTGAGTCTCTCCTCCCTAAACGTTTAGTTCTGTTTTAACAAAAAGAAGATGTATTACGTTGTGACGGCCCGTGAATTGCGATGGCGGGCGTCGAAGATTTGAAACAGGGCTGCGTTGGCACTAGACAATCAGCTCAGACGGGGAGAAGCTCTAGGAGAACATAAAACCGTTGACGACATTATTTTAGATTCCTCGTTTCCCTTCCCGAGGCCTGATCCTAGATACCGTAAAGAGGGAACCTCCCGCACGACATGAGCGCAGAAAAAGCTCTGTTGCATCTACATTGGAGAAATGGTACTGCACCTTTTTAGTGATACTGCTGGCAGCTTTGAGATCCAACAATCGACATAGCACTCGAGTAGACTTCATTGCGGCCGCATGAAGGTGTCAGTAGTCAGTAAAATGAGACACACTTAACAAAGTTGTGGATCGTTATCATAAGGCTGGGACTGCAGGCGAATCTCCAAGATGAAAAAGAATCACGTCTTGGAAATTGGTGGAAATAGTCACGTTATGAAAATGTTCTAGTTTTCGGTGTGCAGGTGATTAAACTCTCCTGATATTGCGCAGCAAAATTGGTAAAGTCCAAATATTACCGAAATCTACAATGCCCGCGTGGGAGAGAGCAGTTATGCTTGTTCTCTTATCTATCTGATTTTATCTACTCGCTGCTCTACTCCGTCGGGTCCGTGTGGCACGCTTACGTCGTTTACGAAAATGTTGGGCTACCTCGTTCTTGCGTTCGTCTTTACTACGGCTGTAACCATCTCACCTCCACTTTTGTTTGGCAGGCCACGTGGAGGATTTCTGAAGGTGAGGTCTCAGGAATGTCTACGTATTGCTTGATCGCTTTTCGACCAATTCTTTTAGGTTCATTTTGAACCATTCTCCATCTTTTCACAGTTTGCAGCTATATTTCCTTTATTCAAGGCTAGCCACTATTCAATAACTTTTAATGAACTTGAGATTGTGCTGGGTTGTCTCATGACTAATATCCGAAATTTGACTCGTTTGTTTGTTGGAGCATTATCTTCTGAAAAGAAACTGATCGACAATATAACCACCATAATGGTCAGTGGTATACCTCTATTTGCCAGGGAATTTTTTGGTGATTTCCTCCAAAAATGAGGGAGCTGGAGGTTGAAGAACTTTGCGAGCTCGTTTTTGGGTTGGTCGTACTCTTTTACTTTTTTCTCTCGCAGCTGCTGATCCGGCATGAAGGCAACATTTCAATAAAGCAGTGCCAGGGCTACACGATAGATGTGGTGTCACGGTCCCAAACTTTCCCTTCAAAACATGGCTAGTTGGCATTGCAATGTGAAGTGGGGTGTTTACTTGAACAAAGCAGATCCTGAGACGTTTATGACGATACTCTCGCACTAGCCAAACCAATTAAGTGAGCTGTATCAGGCTGACTTTCGCAGTGCTTTTCTCAGTACAGTGAAACGGTTTAAACGGAAACCAGGACACAAAGCAACTAGCCAACTGTGATGTTCTCTGAATACAGAGTTTGAGCTGTGGACTCATGACTCATCTCCACTGGTGACCGAAGGGAAAGTTCTGGTTATGCAGTGACACAATGGAAACCTGCAGATGGTCAAGCCGGCTTCTCACGCATGGTCGCTCAGTGCATGCATTTTCCATCGAAACGTCATTCTAGTGCAGTCTTTCCCTTTCAAATAGTTATTCATGGAGCAGCTTATGCTCAAATGTCAACTATAATTCCGTGGCAGTAGCGTGGGATGCGCTTTCAGCTCATGGCGTAAGGGGTCCTAATCAAAAGTGACTGGAGGCCCAGTATGAGGTAGATGTTTACAGTATCGTAATGCTGTTGCGAAAGAACCACTAACTCGGTGCTCGATCAGTAGCAGGAACTGGGCCAAACCCATTTGAAATTGAATAGGAATCGGACAGGAATAGTGAGGCAATCCATTATTTGAGGGACTACACTTTCGGTACATGAAATGGAAGGAGCACATGGAAGACTGGTGACTCAGTGATATTCCCTTTCAGTTTCAATAAGCCCCATCGCGTCATAGATTCGAAACTTTGTATTGGCGCAACAGTGACTGATAAGAGATGATGTGCAGTTAAGAGCTCAGTGATCAAAGGAAATGTCCAGGATTCCTGATATAAATTAGGCACTTCCACAAGAACTAAGCAGTGCATGCGAGCGGGCAGCATGTGCACAACTTTCGCACTCTCGCTCTCCTCTCGACTCCAGCACCCGGTCATTCGGATCTTTCAACTGCACGCAAATCAGCTGACGCAAATAAGTCACACTGAACCGGAAGGCTTTACCAAGACCTATATCATCACACTTCTAAGAGGTAGGATGATCTGGAACACAAACAGAACAACGTCAGGTGTGTAAGAACAGTACAGCTAACTGAAGACGACCTAAACCGTCTTCCAGGTCGTATATTCCTCAAAATTTCCTCGATTGCGTGCATGAGCTTTTACGATGAATTGTGACCGACTGTGATTGACTTAGATCATTTAGATGACCACTAAGAAACTGCTTAATTCGTTGGGCCCAGAAGTCAGTCCGCCTCTTACGAGGCACTTATAGCATTTCAAACCCTAACGTACTGCGGCATTTTATTTTTACTGGCTGGCACGGGTGACGGGCGCCTGTTTATAGTAGGCGCTTCGAGCTGCGAGACCACTATAAACGTTTCATTTGTATCATATGGCGGGACGGCGACTGCATTATGGTATAAGTGAAACATGTATGGATATAGTAAATGAGGACGTGAATATATTCGTATACATTTGGCTGTTCAGGTGTGCAATTATTTCGCCCGAGAAAAAAAAGTCGCCTGCTCAACGGATCGTTTAAGTATTCGAGAAGTAATATTCTTAAAAACAGTTGAAGCATCAAGAAAAGTGGGGAATATATCTGTGAAGTCGGTGCGCATCAAGTGGCTCGTGGACTCCAAGGCGTGGACACTATGTGTATCACGCGGCACGCAGTGTTCCAGAGCTGCGGACCCGAGATATGCCAGAACTACTTAACGGAACAGCACGGATTGCTGGAATAGAACGTCCTTCTTGGGGGAATCCCACCTCTATAATCGAGTGCGAATGCTCCCGTAGGGCACAGGCGGAATTCACTACTTTTTGTCTTCTGAACATTGTGGATTCATCGGAAACAATCGTCCGGAAACTGGTCTCAGGTAAAATTATGGCGTACTTCATGACTATCTGGGTGGTGTCACTCTCACCGGTTAGGAAGGGATTGGGACCTGCCTGCCATTCCTACAATGGGGTACTTCACACTTCCTTCCAGACGCTCAAAAAAATCGTGATCAGTGCCTCCTAAAACGTGTGCACATCTGAAGATGACTTCAAAGGTAACAGGGTTTTAAATATTTGTGGCCACTTTTTAAGCCTTTGAAAATGAATTGAATCCATCGTTAATCAGTAATTTCTAAGATAGCGCTCACCCATTTATGTAAAATACTTTACCTAGCTCCGCCCGCTACCGCGCGCATTGATAGAACTGACAATCGATGAAGCTTTAGGTTTCACCGCTAAATTATAGCTGCTTCGTTAAATGTATTACTGTCCGTTGCATAGGCTGCCCATCTTGGCTGTATCTCACTGTTTGATAAGCGCAGTGAAGTGCACAGCTAAAGTGATGATGTAAACAACCACTATGCGTCGAGTATCGAGGTAATTTAGCGGTCGAATATCTCAAAACGGAATGCCTAGTATTCATTATCATATTTATTCGAGCATCCCATTCATCCTCAAGAACTCTAGAAGGTGTAGCGGTCGGAAGGAGTTTACAATTACAACGCTGATGAAATGATATTGAAATGAAAGGCATTATCTACAATCTGCTCTCTATTTTCTATTTCAAGTGCTCTCTACGTTCGTACGCATATCGTTCCTATCAGTCCTCATCAGTTATCACTTTTTGACCCCCACCAAATATGTTCCCGTCCCACCCCCTATATCATGCCCCAAAATCAGCTCCTGACGACTGCTGCGAAGCGCACTATGAATTTCGTGAAATTTGTGTTTCAGCGCCTCTTATCTGCTCTTATCAGTCGTTATCACTTGTGACCCCCACCAAATATGTTCCCGTCCCACCCCTATATCATATCAAAAAATCAGCTCCTAACGACTGCTGCGACGCGTGCTATGAATTTCGTGACACACACACACACACAGACAGACAGACTTAGCGCTTTATATACACTGCGTTTCATAATTATAGGTCCACCCTAAATTTTTGCTACCCCAAAAGTTGCTGTGCATTTTTTGGAAATGCTGCTATCACCGTTAGATTCCTCATCACGGAAAACCTTCATAGTGTTTTTCTGACAAATTCCCCCCTCAAGTAACCCAATTAACTTTTTTAGAACGAATTTTCACCGTTTCATGAATATCGGGCCACTCATAAAAAGTTTCCATTTCTCACGATCCGTGAAGGGAATCAGGGAAGCGGGGAAATATGTGGGCTCAGTCGACATCGAGTTTACCATACCTCGTGTTATTCGCCTCTCTTCCCAGTAACAAGCTCAAGCTAGAGCACTTACTGAAGTGGGATAGCTGAGGAGCAGAATTTCCTCCCATGTCGGCCGGCTCATACTGCATAAGCGACTATGTGCAAAATCCTGGTCAGTGCGGAGAGAAGAGTCGCTTAGGTAAATAAAGACTGCGTTTCCTTCAAAATTTAGGAGGAATTGGGTGTCTTCTCTCGAATTATACAAGGAGTCCGAACAAAGTCCGTACTGAAATGCGGCCTTCCGTGAGCAAAACCACCGTGTGGTGAGTAAGCCAGCAGAGCAATAACATCTTCAACGGATTGATGAAGAGCGTTCCAAGATTATTTGAGCGCTACAAGATCGCAAGTCTCCATTTCTCCGTGGAAAAGGGCTCAACTTAATGAGCGATGGTGTGGCTGTTAAGACCCTTCGCGATCTTGGACTCTACCTCCTTGTTTCGTTCTACAGGTGGTCTGAGATCGACGTGGAAAAGTTTATTCTAGGTGGATATGGCAGAAAAAGAGGGTACAGGATGATCGCGTGAAAATCGCAGATGGTTTCAATGTAACGTAATTTCGGCGGTGAATCCCTTATGGTTTGAGGCACCTTTGAACGACTGAGTAGCTAGAGCTCGCTTTTGTTTCCGTTCACAAAGATTCCACAGGGTATCGTGAAGCCTTAAAAAACCATACCTGGTGGAGTCACTAAGCCTATGACAAGAAGAGTGGTCATCTGTCACATCATACTTATTAAAAAAAAATTTTTTTCGTGCAATTGTAATAAAAAAACTCTGAATGGTACGGATTGGCTACCCCCAAATAGTTACACTCTCTTCATGCTGTTTTGCACTCATTGGGCTACTTGCTGACCCTTTCCTGCTGTACCGCTTCCGGCTAGAATTTATTATTTCATCGTTACGAGCTTAGCACGCAAACTTAGTTAATGCCTTCGTAAGTACCCCCGAGCCAGCGCCTGGGGTTCGTGTTTAGATCAAAGAGGTGCCTCCTGCACCCGCCCCTGTTGCGTTGCGGCCTCGGCAGTAGGATTATCTTCAGGGCTTTTTAGCAACTTTGCGTGCCCCCCCTCTTGCCCCGTTTTTTTCTCGTTGATCAGTCGGTAACGGTCCACCAGTATTGGGTCAGTGCTTAGCTTTTTTCCATTTTTTTTTTTTTTTTTTTTTTTTTTTTTTTTTTTTTTTTTTTTTCCGCATTTCGTAAACACTAAATCGAATCTTCGTCAATCAATCTTGTGCCATCCCGGGTTCATTTAGACATGTATTTACTATTATGATTGACCTGTAAATAAATAAATAAATAAACAAGTTATCGTGAAGTTCTTTCGAAGCGAGTCTTACCATTTTTTCAACAAGGATCCCCTCTATCCTTGATTTTCACACACGATAACGCGGCTGTCCATGCCGGTCCCTCCGCGCCAGATGGAATTGCAGGAAAAAATGTGGCAGTTATCTGGTGGCCACCATGTTATCTGAATTAGATTCCAATAGAGAATCATTGGGCCTTAATTGTTATAAAGTTCCACAGCAAAGTAAAGCAAAATGGAACAGCCGAAAAGCTGAAAAGGTCGATCATCGGCGCCCAGACGAATTTCGATCCTACTGTAATAGCTAATTTGGCTACCAGCATTTCAAAACGTATTATTGTGTTCCTTATGATTATTGGGGGGTCATCCCATTATTGAAAATTCGTGACGTTTTCGTTAAGTAAAATCTCTGCGATACGAAGTTATTACGTCTCGACAAGTGATGTAGTCATATTTGCGAAACGGTGAAAATACGTTCTAAGGAAGATATTTTAATAATTCTGAATCGAGATTTCTCCAGAAATCAAGTATCAAGGTTTTTCGTTATGGGGAAACTATTGGTAATAGCGGCATTTTCCAAAAATGCACAGCAACTTTGGAATAGCAAAAAATTAGGGTGGACCTATATTTATGAAACGCAGTGTATATAAATGCGATGTTTGAATTTCACAATATGCATTATTACGATTTGAAATGTGGAGAGATATATTTAGGCCCCGGTCGGCGATGGCCCACAAACAGAAGCCAACTATTTGGTCTATTCAAACATCACACAACTCGTCGATCACTTCGGAGGATCGTCGGCCACGTGGAAGCAGGTCCGTCTGTCTTTTTTTATAGTTCGATCCTTTTAGATTTGGGTAGAATAAAATATCGAGAGAAGGACTAAGCCTACCGTTGGCTTTTCGTTACCGAGATTCGATGTTGGAAAGAATTAATATTATTCATTATAGAATAGAGTAGTAGTTAGCGCAGGACCTCTGAGTTTGACCTTTCTTGCTTTTCCACAGCCGTTCTGTTTATAAAGGAAAAAATGGCAAGTTATTCCAAAATGCTCAGAATGACATTTTCGCTATCTTCCGCCTAGAACAACCACAGCCTCGATGAAGGTTCATTTCCAATAACTGAGCAAATAGAGTCTTTCATTCCCTTTCTGGAGGCAGAGTTATTGACTAGAAGGCAGCCCATTGTAATTAAGGTAGAGGTGGTCAGTGATGCCGTGACCAAGAAAAAACCATGAGATCGGCTCAAAATGAAAGGAGACCCCTGTCTTGCCCGTTTGTTTCCGTATTGATGCCACTTTCATTGTTGTAGCTCTCTCCAACGCTAACGCTCCCTTCCTCTGCTGAACTTTAGAGACCTGCGACGAGAGGTTGGCCAGTCGGTGGCCGTGCCACATCAACAGTGCCCCGGTACGGTTGCTCTGTAGGTCATGGGGATATTCTTCGCTACAAATTGCGTGCGGGTCTGCACCCTTAAAGGAATCCTTCGCGGAAAATTCTTGCATTCTTTCTCAACATGAATGTGTCAGTTGTGATCACTGGAAACAGCACACAAAGTTTCACGCATGAAGATTCGGTTTCCGAAGAGAAACAAACGTACAAAAACTACACTCTATGGACAATCGAAGGTAATTCGGGCGGAGCCAAAGGCGAGGCATGGAAAGAAGTTGGCCTTTGGCCGGCTACGTATCAGGCGACGCAATGAAAGAATCGGGTTAAAGCGCGCGATTTTGGAGAGTAGAGACAAATCGATCGATAGAATAGGATGCAGTAGAAGTGTGAGATGTGAATGCAATAAGTCAAAAGGCCAGAAAGAGTTTCTAGTGAAGGCACTCCAAGAACCAAGTGGAAGCATTCCCGTCGCCAGCATTTGTGAAGATGTCCGTGGTACTTTGAACGCGTAGCAGCCCTTTCGATTTTTCGAATTTTTACCAAAACAAAGCAATTTTTCTGTTCTTTTCATTCTTATCGTGGATGAATGAGTCTCAAGCCAGTGATTTATGGCTGAAATAGAATCATGATTTTTCCGTGAAGGATTCCTTTAAGTGGTCCGCTTGTCATCCCAGTAGGTAAGTTTTTTCTGCTTCATGAAGCCCACTTTGAATTCTCTATTTTACAAATAAGCTTGCGGAGTGCTTGAATTCAACAAAATACCGTTTTTTGTTCCAGCGCTACCAGTATAATTCCAAATTCTACAATGCAAGTACCGGAATTGTGTTCCTAATGATTGGTGGAGAAGGTGGGCTCTTCTGCTCTACCTTTCAATATGATATCGTCGCTAGAATACGTCACAAAAGAATTATGAAGAGAAGGATTTGAAATAAGTATAATTTCAGGCTCCATTTCTCCTCCCGGCGACAAATGGGTTAAAGACGAAAGTATCACAATGATGCAGTGGGCGCAGAAATACGGAGCAGCCGCTTTTCAACTTGAGCATCGCTTTTATGGGCCTAAAGAAAACGCCCCAATGAGGTAGGATAGGCCAGTGTCCGGAGTTTTTATCGAACAGCACAGACTTTTTTTCATCATTTCTAGCAAAAGAATAGCATCTAGCTCACTCTGTTTATTCATGAGCTCCCTGTTATTGGTCTTAAAAAGCGAATTACATAACCTTCCCTTCAAAAGCGAGAAAGTGTCGGGTGCAGACCAAACACCACAACTGACGACGGCCTCCAAGTAAATCTGGTTAGAAGTTGTTCATAGTGATAGCTGATTTCTGGTAAATGATAGTTGTAATTAGTGAC